ACAATGGTATTTTTTTTTCAGTTTTAGGGATCTGTTCAAGGGTCTTGCCCATGATAAATAAATGCTCTACCAGTGATCAACAAATCCAATAACGTAGCATTATTTTTTAATGTTTTCATTATGGTATTTTAATATATGCATGTAATGTATTTTGATTATAATCACCTCACACTATGCTCATGAGTGCCCTCCACTCCCCAAGGATCTATGAAGAAGGGTGTGGCAATTACTTTAGGGGGACTAGCCCCTACTAAGGTACCCATTCTTCTGTGAAATAACCCATATATCCATGCTCCTTGAGAAAACCATAATAAAACACATGGCTTGACACAGTAAAAGAAAATGAAAATTGAAGAAGTATTATTTGGGAAGAGTAAGAGCATAAGCAGGAGTGTGAGGTGGGAACAAGAGAACATAATATGTGACAATTAAAATCAGAGCACATTGTATGCATATATTAGGATATCACAATGAAAATGTTTTCAAATTAACAACACAACTACCTCCAAAAAATCATGTGAGAATATTGGGTTTGTGGGCTCACTGTTAGAATATTTACAGGCCCTTAAAGTCTACTGATCTTTCTTTCTCCCTACCCTCTTCATTCCCTCTTTTCCTCCTCTCTCCCTCTAGTCCTCTCTCTTTTACTGAACCACACTTCAAGCCAATTTCACTCTCCAGGATACTGCAGGTTGCTGTAGTGGACTGAATGAGAGTGAGCCTCATAGCCTCATCTATTTGAATACTTGGCGGAACTGTTTGGGAAGAATTAGTAGCTGCGATCTTGTCATTGGAGTGGAGGCAGACTTTAAGGTTTTAAGAAATTCCCAGTGCTTTCTCTCCCTTACTCCTTTCTTCACTCCGCCATCATAGACTCTGATCCTCTAACTGGAATCCAAATTCAACACTTAATTTTACAAGTTGTCTTGGTCATGGTGTTTTATCAAAGCAACAGAAAGTAATTGAGATAGAATTTGGTACCAAGGGATGTGTTATTGCTGTGACAGGCCTGACCATGCTGTTTTCTTGAAAAATGTGGAAGACTTGGGGACTTTAATTAGTAAAGCAGTAGAATGATGTAGAGAAGCTTAATGAGCTATCCTGGGTAGGAGCTTAGGATACAGAAGTGGTGAAAACCATGTGGACTGTGGAGGTTTTAGAGGGAACCAACACTAGTAACTTGACTAGATAGAATTTTGTGATACATTGGCTCTCTATTGCCCTTGTCCGAAGAAGTTGACTGAGGCTAAACTGAAAAGTAATGGACTAATTTCTTTGGTAGAGAAGATTTCAAGACAGCCTAACTTTGACTCTACCACCTGGTTAGCAATCACGGTTGTGCAGGTCTACAAAGAATGAGAAAACGTGGAGCAAAAAGAAATACAAAATGGAGTTTGAAGTAAAAAGGAACACCAGCCAAGGCCTGTGCTGAACAAGAGATTAGTGAGAAGCCTGATCTTATTAGGAATAAAGGAATAAAGTGTTAGGGCAGGGTGCCCTCAAAGCAAGACCCCAACCAGCTAAGCTTTCAACTTGTGGAAAGAAACAAGGAATTTCCTGGCCCTTAAAATGTAACACCAATCAAACCTTCTAGGAATGTGATTCCAGGGGGCCAGGGTTCACTCCAGGTTGGTAGTCAAACTTAGCAATGCTGTCTATGTGCTTCTGGCTTTAAAATAATGAAGGATACATGGATAAAACAGTTCTTGAAATAGTCTTCCATGGTTAAGGAAAGTAGTGAGGCTATGAGTATTGCAGGGGAGTCCCATCATGGAGGCCCTGAGAGGCCATTGTGTGAAACAGATGTTAGAGGGACCAGGATAGTAGGATAGCTCAGACAGGGCATGGAAGAAGACCAAGGAAGAGAAGAATCATGCAGGCAGTATATCTGGAAAAATGGATCCATCTAAGCCATTTGATATCAGACATGGAGCTACAGGACTTGGAGTTTGCCCTGCAGGGCATTGGTCTTGCTTTGGTCAGTATTTTCTTACTATTTTCTCATTCCTCCCTTTTGGAATAGTAATGTATATTCTGTGCCACTGTGTGGTAGAAGCATATACTTTGTACTCTGCCCTTTTATTTTTCATGAGGTTACAATTAAGAGATTGCCTTGATATTGCTATTGCCCTTAGTTGCCTCCAGCCCTAGAGGTGGAAGGTAAGACCCTATTGTTGGAGACATCATGCATTTCAGATGCAAGGCACAATGGGTCCTGAACTGGAACTTATCTGAAAGCCTCCTCTGTGAGGACTAGCTTTCATGGTATCAGAAGGCACCAATGTAAGCTTCCACAGGAAGGAAGCAAGCAAGAATCTCATTTAGCTATGATGCCAATGAACCACAACAATGATTGACCATCATGACACAATAACCCTAAGGGTGTAGAAGTGACACATTTACCTTGGTGTTAACCAACAGCTCTTTAATTGGACTTAACACCCAGTCAATAACAGGGAAATCATGCCTTTTTTGAAACTTTTGAACTACCCAAGGCTAATGAAATCATGGATCTCAGAAAACACACGGCCACCACTTTATTACACCAATACAATCCATAGGTACATTCTAAATATTTGTCCTTATATCCACAGGTTAAGTGTAGTTCACAGCCCTCATTAAGGAAACTTCCCTTTGCAAAAGATAGAGACTGGCACAGAAAAACAGTCAATCTATGTACACGCAGTTGTGGAGCCCAAGCCCAAGGATACATCTATAAAATAACTCCTGAACCAAAGGCTCAGGGGATATATGGAAGAGCAGGCAGAAAGAGTGTAAGAGCTAGAGAAACAGGGAATTTGATGGGAGACAGTGCTTTCAAGTAATGTCAGAAGCTATACCCATAAAATATCACCAACATGACTGCTTACATATGAGCTGAACAAAGAAAAAAACCAACAGATATGTAAATGTGAATAGGGAAAAGGCCACAGGGCCTTAACCTTACACAAAGAACTACAAGCAGTAAAACAAACAAACAACCTAAGGAATATTGAGAGCAGAAGAAAACAGTGTTCCCCATGGAAGAGTATACTAATATTTTTTATCCAATACCAAATGATCATCCCTGAAAATGTACACACAAGTAACATTATATAGACTGAACTGGTTTAATGTATATATTTAAGAATATATACATGTATAAATACATACATATAACAACAGTCAATGAAAAAAGAGGACATGAATTTGAAAGAAAGCAGGAGGGTATGTGGGAGGGTTTGTGGGGAGGAAAAGGAAGGGGTAAATGATGTTAATTATTTTATAATCTCAAAAAACAGAATTGATTTTAAAAAAAGTGGTTGCCTTGGGTCTCAGAAAGAGCCTTTGAATATTGGACTTCTAATTAGTATTGAGACTTTGATAGACTATGGAGACTTTTGAAGTTGGACTAAATGCATTTTGCATTATGATATGTCCAGGAGTCTATAGATGCCATGCAGTGTAATGTATATGTGGAGGTTTGAATAAGAATGGCCCCCATAATCTCTTATGTTTGAATATTTAGTCTTCAGTTAGCAGAACTGTTTGGGAAAGATTAGGAGATCAGGAGGTATTGTCTTCTTGGAGAAGGTGTGTTTTGGGGGATGGATTTGAGGCTCCAAAAAAACCTCCTATCATTTCTTTTGATTAAGGACACACAAAAATGTTGAGCAGAGTAAAGGTTCCCACTGTATCCATGGGACTATTTGACTCCCGAAGCCATACAGGAAAAGTTCAAGTAGGCTTTAAGACATCAACTTCAGAACCAGCATCCCACTATCACTGTGACAAAATACCTAAGAAAAATTAAGATGAGAAAAGATTCTGGATTATAATTGCAGAGGTTTCAATCTGTGATCCCTTGGCCATGTCCCTTTGAGCCTTAGATGAGGAAACACCTCATGTTAGGAGCATATCATGAGGTAAATTTTCTGGAGGCCAGAAGGGAGAGAAGGAGAGAGGAAGGGAGGAAGGGAGGAGGGAGGGAGGGAGAGAGGGAGAGAGAGAGAGAGAGAGAGAGAGAGAGAGAGAGAGAGAGAGAGAGGAGACAGCTGGAGCTAGATAGCCTGTCATGGTGTAGAAGATCAGGAATGTCCTTTAAAGACTCATGCTTTGAAGGCTTTGTACCCAGTCTGTGACATTGCTGAAATGACTAATGAAAGGGTTAACCTCATCATTACATTAATTATTATAAGGTTACAATTGAATGGGTTATTTGGAGGTCCCTACCTGGTTGGAGATGTAGGTCATTCAGGACATGTTCTTATAAAGTCTTGATCTCTGTCTCTCACTCCCTCTTCCTTCTCTCTTTTCCACCCTCTTTCCCTCCTACTGAGCCACACCTCTGCATGTGTGTGTGTGTGTGTGACACACACACACACATATGTATGTATATTTTCCTTCTATATATACATACATACATATGACTAAATGGAGTCACCACATAAAAGGGGAGATGATGTACCAACTAGATATCCTATATTATCAAGTAAAATCTCCAGTGTTAGGAACAGGTTATATCTTCTTGAATCTTTGGTCAAGGGAGCCCCATGAAACCTCAAAGATACAACAGGCTATTGCCATGGTTCTTGGTTATTTTCTTCACAACATGATGATAAGATTCTACTAGAAGACAACCTTTATGATAGAGAAGTTGAGTTGGCTAACTAGAAGCTTTACCCCTACTGACTAGCATTTGTGGTGCTGGAAGGTACTTTGTATGCTACTGGAGAAGAAAGGTGATCTCCATTATCGTCCAGCTACAAACCAGGTGCCTTACAACAATGACCTGCATACAAGATATATTGGTGCAATAAGGGTCCAAATGTTATAGGAGTAACCGGCCACTTTTTGAACAGATTTCAGGCTCACTCCACAAGATGGAATCCATATTTGACACTGCTAAAGTGGTCAGAATCTGAGGGTAGATATGTCACTGGCCTAGGGGAAAACCTACTACTATTATTTTGCTACAGGAACATAGCAATAAAATGATTCCTAGTGTCATACCACCATACCATAGATCAGTGTCCCACTCACAGCTCTCCAGACACTTCTTAGAGTAGATGGGAATGAACACAGAGCGCCACAACTGGGAAACGTGCGGAGAATGAGACACTCTGGAGCACTCAATTCTAAGTGGCATGTCTTCCTCAGGGCCGTCTCTCAAAGCTCGTGGATCTGTGCAGAAGAGGAGGTGGAAAATTTAAGAGTCAGAGGTGATGAATGAGTCCAAGGAAACGGTGTCTTCTAGACCCAACAGAATTGATGCACATGTGTACTCACAAAGACTGAGCGAGAACACACAAGACCTGCACAGGCCCATGACAGAAGGGAACTCAGTACTGAGAGGAAAAAGTGGACAACCAAACCAACCAAACCAAAAAGCTACTTGTAACTGGTATCTGCTGGCAAAAGGAAAATCAGTTTTCTCAGATGGACTGTCACTGGGCTTATCAAGTACATTCCAGGGCGTACTGTGAAGTAAGGAGTTGGCCAACACAAAATGGACTCTATGGGGTTTTTCTTTTGGGGAACGTTTCATTTTGTTTTGGCATTTTTGTCTTACTGTTCTCTTATTTAATTTTCATGTTTGTGTTCTTGTGGTTTAAGAGAGAGACACACAGACACACGGATATACACACAAAGAAAGAGGGAAAGAGTAAGAGAGAGGGAGAGACAGATTCCTCTCACTCAGCATTCCTTAGTTACCTGTGGTTCTTGGTCTAGGGTAGAGGCCTCCTGAACTCTCCCCTTCCCCCATTACCATGTCTACAGGTATCTGTCTTGTTCAGGTCATGTTTAGGTAGTCATGGTGGTGAGAGTTCATAGGTGTAGCTTCTGACTTTTCTAGGAGGCACAATGTCACAGTAAACTCCCTGTTACTCCAGTTCTCATAATCTTTCTGTTCCCTATTCCTTTATGCTCCCTAAGCGTTAGGTGCAGGAGTCGGTCTGACTGTGGGTGGGACTAGGCTCCACCACTCTGCACTTTCGTCGGTTGTGGTTTTCTGTAATAATGGTCTCCTGTTGTAAAAAGAAGTTGCCTTGATTGGGGGTGAGGATCACACTTATCTGTGGGTATAAGGACAAATATTAAGAATGTAGTTAGGGTTTATGCTGGTTTAATAAAGCTGTAATATAGGTTCTCTTCTGAGATCCATGATAATACTAGGCCTGGATAGCTGGCTATGTTTCCAGTACCAGACACTACCATCTGATTTTTAAAAAATTATTTCTTGCTATCTACTGAGTTTGAGTTTGTTTTGTTTTTCCAAATTCTTATGTTGCACCAATAAGTAATTTATTTGTACTGCTTTTTTTTTTGTAGGCACTTAGGTCTATTAACTTCCCTCTTAAAATGTCTTGACTGTTTCTCAAAGGTTTTGTTGTGGTATTTTTGTTTCATTTAGTTCCAGAAATATTTTGATTTCTTCTTTGATCCACTCATCATTTAATAATTTGTTGTTTAATCTCCATTTTATACATTTAGTAGAGTTTTGTTTGCTGTTAAGTTTATTGCATAATGGTTGGGTCTGATACATGGAATTATTTCATTTTTTCTGTATTTATTAATGCTTCTGTTCCAGCATTTTTTTCTATGTTGGAGACACTTCCATGTGCTGCTGAATGTATATTCTTGGTATTTGGGTTGAATGTTCAATAGATCTCTTAGGTTCATTTGATATAAGAGGTCATTTAATTCTGAAGTTTCTCTTTCTTTTTCTGTCCAGATATCTTATATGTATAAGAAATTGGAGTGATGAAATTGCCTACAATTATTGGGTTCATGTTAACCCAGGTCTTTAATTCTGTTAATATACTTTTATGAAATTGAGTGCACCAGAGGTTAATGCATGTGTTTAGCACTGCAATATTTTACTAATTAATTGACACCTTGATTAAAATAAAGTACCTTTCTTTGTCTATAGCTAGTGTTTGAAATATCATATGGAAAATGAGTGGGGGGTACGTGCTGAGCTGCGTGCAGGGCCAGCCACTCAGGGATGGAGAGGAGGTGACACAGCTGCTGAAGGGCGTCCCCAAAGACTCCAGCCACGTGGGGACACTGGAGTTTAGCTTCAGTGCTGGCAAGAATGCCCCTGCAGACATCATCTCAGAGGGGCAGCAGAGCCCTCCCCAGGGCCCCAGCCAAAGCCCTAAAAGGGAGTTGCCCTTGGAAGAGACTCCAGCCCTGCACCCGTTGAACGAATTGCCTCCATCTCAGCCAGTTTCCACCAGGCCTGCTGAACCTGAGGAGTGGAGACTTGGACCAAGTTGAAACTGACCAGTGAGCCCAGAGCCCCAGGGGGATGCTCCAGGACCCACAAGAAAGCCACCTTTCCCAGGGTCCCTCATGGTTTGAGGAGAATTCCAGAGACCAAGAGCTGGCAGCTGTGTTGGAGTCCCTTACCTTTGAGGACACCTCAGAGAAGAAAGCCTGGACTGCAAACCCTCTTGTACTTAAGAGCAGAATGCCTGACAAGGAGGAACTTAAAGATGAAGAACCTAAATCGACTATCTGGCCTGTCATCATTTTATCTGAGTCCCTGGCAGAGGGCGCTGGAGTCACAGTAGAGCCTCTGTACCAGACAGCAGAGCAGGAGGCGAGCCGTACTGGTGGGGGAGGGACCCCTGCAGACAGCAGTGAACTTGTGGAGGTCAGAGTAGGAGCCCCAGAGTCCGAGACAGAGTCGCAGTTTATATGCACGGAGTGTGGAGTCAGTTTCCTGCAGCTGTCCGGTCTACAGGCCCACCAACTACAGTCTCACTCGGGCTCTCAATCTCAGCCAAGCTCCCGTTCCTTCTGATGTCTGTGGTGCGGAAAGACTTTTGGGCGCAGCTCCATCCTCAAGCTGCACGTGCGCATACACACAGATGAGAGACCACATGCCTGTCACCTCTGCAGCCACCGCTTTCGCCAGAGCTCACACCTCAAGCACTTGCTAACGCCTTCTTCCTTCTGAGCCTGCCTTCCGATGTGCTGAGTGTGACCAGGGCTTCCAGCGTCGCTCCAACCTCATGAAGCACCTGCTGGCACATGCCCAGGAACAAAATCCCACACCAGACCCAGAAGGCAAGACGAAAGTGTGAGAGAAGGCAGTTGTCCTCTGTTCCCACTGCGGGCAGACCTTCCAACGGCGCTCTAGCTTAAAGCGTCACTTGCGGATTCATGCAAAGGGCAAGGATCATCAGTCCTTGAAAGACCTCGGTAGCCCTAGCTCTCGCCAAGAGAGCAAGCCCTATGTGTGTAGTGACTGTGGCAAGGCCTTCCGACGAAGCAAGCACCTGATGAGCCACAAGCCATTCCATACCGGCGAACGACCCTTTTCTTGCCAGGCCTGTGGCCCCTGCTTCACCCAAAGTTCCCAGCTGATTAGCCACCAGCAGGTACACACAAGTGAGAAGCCTCACGCTTGTCCCCAGTGCAACAAACGCTTTGTGAGACGTGCGAGCCTTGCCTGCCATCTGTTGACCCACGGTGGCCTCTGGCCTTACCACTGTGCCCAATGTGGCAAAAGCTTCAGCCAAATGCAAGGCCTGACTTGTCACCTACTCAGTCACACAGGAGAGAAGCCCTGCCGATGCAGCGACTGCAGAAAGAGGTTCAGCCAGAGTGCCCACCTGGCATGTAACCAACGCATCCACACGGAGGAGAAGCCCCACGCCTGTGACACCTGTGGTCACCGCTTCCTCAACAACTCCAACTTGGCCCACTACCACCGCAGCCACACTGGCGAAGGGCCCTACAGCTGCCCAACCTGAGGCCGCAGTTTCTGGAGCAATGTGCACCTGCAGCGGCACCTGATCACACACACCACATCCAGGCAAGAGATGGAAGACCCCCAGGAATGCCTGGAGTGTGGCAAGAGCTTTATTCGCAGCTGTAACTTGCTGCGCCATCTGATGGGTCACACAGGCGCAAGGCCTTACTCCTGTGCACTCTGTGGCCGTGGCTTCAGCCGCAATTCACACCTACTGCGCCACCTGCGAACCCACGCCCGGGAGATGATGTACCAGCTTCACCCATGCTCCGGCAGCCTTGTTCTCTATGAACCTCCCTGCACGATTAAGAGTCCCTGTGATGTCCCCTTCACACATACCTCCTCTTGGTTCCTCCACGTTCTACGTCCTCACCTTTGACACCTGACCATAGGAATGTGTTTTCCGATGCTTTAAGTTACATTCTCAATAAAATAAAATAAAATAAAGAAAAGAAAAGGAAAGAAAAGAAAAGAAAAGAAAAGAAAAGAAAAGAAAAGAAAAGAAGAGAAAATGAGTGGGGGTAGCAATAGCCCTGACTTGTTTCTGTTTTTAGAGGGATCACTTCTTTTCCTGTTCTTTGCCACTTAGGACAAGGCTGGCTGTGGGGAAGCCATTGCTTTGTAACATGACTTAGCATTAATTTTTAAAAAAAAAGTCAGAAGGAAACACAACACAAAGAGACTATGCAATGAAAGTTTTAGTGCGGCTCCCAAGGTCCATGGACCATTTCCTTGACTGAATTAGTCTTAGTCATTCTGAGTATGGCATTGCTGATAGAGCAGTCCTCTGGGCGGAAAAGCTAGAAAGCATTGGGAGGGCAGCAGAAGCATATGCTATCAGAGAAACCTTCCTAACAGAAGCACTTGGAAAGCCCTTAAAGAGCACAATAACTAATCACATGCACACTGTACACTATTATTCATAAGAATATTAATACAAAACAAGCTCTTGGGTCTTTGGGGGGAAATAGCACATATAGGAATTTCAACTTTAATACTTTCCTTAGTAATTTAAATGTTATTCTTTTTTATTTTTTTCATTTGTCTCCACTTCCCTCTGTTCCTTCCCCTTCCTATGGTACCCACACTCCCAATTTACTCAAGAGAGTCTTTTTCTACTTCCCATGCAGACTAGATCCATGTATGTCTCTCTTAGGGTCCTTGTTGTCTAGGTTCTCTGGGATTGTGAATTGTAGGCTGGTTTTTCTTTGCTTTATATCTAAAAGCCACTTATGAGTGAGTACACATTATATTTGTCTTTCTGGGTCTGGGTTTCCTCACTCAATATGATGTTTTCTAGATCCATCCATTTGCCTGCAAATTTCAAGATATCATTTTTCCCTGCTGTGTAGTACTCCACCATGTAATAAGTGTTATTCTTTATTGTAGAGAGATTCCAGGTTAGACTGATTAAGGAAGACTGAGGAGAAGGATTTGAAAAGGCAAGGCATTTTTTTTAGATGAAGTAGAGGGTAGAATTATAGTCTAGACATTTTTTTTTAGATGAAGTAGAGGGTAGAATTATAGTCTAGACATAGGAAAAGCCCAGGTATCCATAGAAACGTACATCTCAATGGGTCAGCAGGTCCTAGAGTAGCCAGCATCATGGAGAATGATGACACCTTAGGTGGGAGTACACCCCCTTTGTGACATACTTCTGTTCCAGAACATAGGGCCCCTATACTCTGTTCTTATCCTATTTTTCCCACCCACTTTCCTGAGACCTTCGAAGGCACTGACAGCTGTGGTTGGCTGATGCTGTAGGGTCAACTGAATCAAGGTACTTGGTTTCTTTCTGGAGAATGGTTCTGGTTCCCTCATCTCTTCCTGTGTAGAGGAAGGTTCTTTCTGAAGGATGTTCCAATAAGTTAAAGCTGAGCAGACAGAAATGTTAGGAACCTGTGTAGATCAATCAAGTACTTGTGCCTTTCTTGTGTCTTTAGCAATCTTCAACACTCAGGACCGTGTTTTGAGCTAAACCCTTACTGGGCAATCCCTTAAGGATCTTAGAAACTATAAGAGACTCATGTGACACTATTCTGGAGAGAAGCAGTAGTATGCCTCTTACTTAGCTTTACAAACTTTGAAATTACCTATATGCCTGAGATTTCCTCCATCCTCAATGACACCAAATAGCCTCCATTAGAGGGGCTACTTTTCAACTTCCTCTTGGATAAATCTGCAATCTTCATGGTCCTAGAGATACCTCAATGTCCACTCACTAAATTTTTTTGGATGACTTCAGTTTGTGGACCCCTGTACCTTGAGACAAACCAAATTCATTGACAGTCTGTCCTGTAGATGTGAATATTCCAGCTCTTTTATCTTGGCAGGAATTTCTAAATTAGTCCAGTAATTCACACTCTACTTAATAGATCCATCTCTTTTTAGCACAGCAGAACCATATATTCCTTTCTTTGATCTCTGAAAACCATAAGTTGGGGAGACCATTAAACCTTCACCGACTTTACCTCAGAATACACCACAAAATATCTACACATGTTGCAGGACACTGTACCACAAAACATCAATCTAAATTATTTAATAGGAGGATACAGGAGAATTATTTGAGCCCAGAGTTTCCCTGTCAGCTTAGCATCATAATATCCATACCGTATCTCAAGGGGAAAAAAATCAAGAGTAGGTAATGATGTAGATACATGGATTTAAATTTCAGTAGGGTCCCAGAAATGTATCTTTTATTTAAAACTTTAATGTGTCTGTTAATTTTTTAATAAAATAAAAGGTTAAAACATTTATTTATTGACGAAGGAAAAAATTCTGCTGGGCTGAGAGGTAAGCAAGTGACTGAAATTGAAAAAAAGAATGATAAATATCCAAGATTGTCTTCAACATGAAAATAATCTACAAATAAACAGTATGTACCTAACAGCCTTGAGGCTAAGAAGTGTATTAATAGTGGAAAGTTAAGGAACTACCTGAAGCTAGCAGAGACTATGGGAAAGGAGCATGGGAGGTAAAATATAAGAAAAGTATAATGATATACATGTATGAGTAGATCAGCATGAAAGCCAGCTTTTGAAAATAAACCACAAAAGCTATTTAAAAAATAAACACATTTACAAAGGAAAATAGCTTAATGAAGAGGACAGCACTCTTATTTTGTTAGGTGCCAGCCACCAAGCTGAAGTTTGGTAGTCAGGATCCACATGATAGAAGGGGAGAATGAACTCCCGTAAGGTGTTCTCTGACCTCCACAGACATATAATGGGCACACATACAAATAAATACTAAATAAAAATGTAACCCATTATTCAAACATATTTTGAAGTCTCTTTGCTGACTGTTTAACACAGATAAGTTAGTTTTTACATTGCTCTTCTTTTTTCTGAGACAGAGTTTCTTATATGTAGTACAGGATAGTCTTGAACTCCTCCTATCTTCCTATCTCATTATCCTAAGTGCTAGGGACATAGGTGTTCACCACCAAGTCTAGCTTCCTAAGGGAATTTGTTCTGAGTTTTGTCCATGATTTATTTTAATTGCTATACAACAATAGTGCATATACAATTAAAAAATAGTATGGTGATTCAAGATACACATATGTGTGTACTTATGAAATATGGGTAATTCATATTTCTCTGTCATTATGTAGTCATCATTTCTATGTGAGAGAAACTTTCTAAGCTCTCTCTTCTACTCTGATAAAGCTGGGAAATTAAAGCAAGGGCCTCTTACACGGTAGGTAGGAATCCTACAGGATTTAATCATGTATTGCTCAGCCTGGCCTTGATCTCACTTTGTAGCTCAGGCAGGTATTGAACATAGGATCCTTCTACCTCAGCCTCCCAACTGTCTTGTATTACAGGCATAGAAATGGAACTTTGGTTCCTCTTTTCCTCCCTTACAAATTCACCATATGGAGCTATAATTTGTAGTCACTAAAAGTGTGCTGCGAAATACTTGCAGCTAGTCTTCCTCTTTAACTATTGGGTGCTTGCTGTACCTTCTTCTTCTGGACTCCCCACCACTCGCCTTCCAGCGACCAATGCTTCATTCTTAGCACCTGTGAAATCAGTTTTCACTTTCCTCATATGGGTGAGAACATGGGCCTGTGCTTGCCCAATTCAACATCTTTCTCTTGTCTCTTCATCTTAATGAACACTCCGGGGTGACTAATCAGGACAGACGCTTGCCCCACTCTCTGAGACTCAATCTAACTTCATATATGTGCATAGACTCCTAAGCACTAATTCTCCTGTCGACCTAATCAGGGGTAGGTGATCTCAGGATGAAGAGGAGCGCAGAGATGTCATGGGCTGAGAGTTACTAACCATCCACACCTTCTTCCTTCACAGGATACCTTGTTTTGTTCCGGAAGAAAATCGGACGGTGTCTTTTCGAAGTCTCACTGATCCCACTGACATGAAAACAGTGAGTTCTTGTGTAAAGAGTTCTGTGGAAGACATCCATGAACCAAAGAAGATGTGTAAGGTGAGGTGACCAGACAGGGGGTGTGCAGAAGCAGCTGAGTGACCAAAGGCCATTGTAGAAAGAGTTCTCAGAAGGTGGAAACCAGAGGCACTCAGGACAAGGACCAAAGTCTCCATAGGACCTCCACAAGTCTCAAGAATTCTCTATACACACACACACACACACACACATGCATGCACGCACACACACACACACACACACACACACACACACGCATGCACGCACGCACGCACGCACACACACACACACGCATGCACACATGCACATGCACACTCGATATGCCCTTCTAAACCATCCCTGAATACCAGATTGGTGATCTAGTCCTAAACGCATTTAGTGACATTCAGTCCCTTGTAAGCAGGGGAGGAGAACAAATAACCAGCACTGAGCATTTCCAGCATAACTGGGAAATGGCTGTTGTTTACATCTCTCACGTGACCCACACATTTCCCAGGACCAATTATCTTGATTTTCTAGGCGGACCACTGAGGTCCTCCAACACAGAGGGCATTCTAAGATGAATGGTACACATGTCCAGCAGAGTAGCTGAATTTACATTTCCTCCTTTTCTAGGCTTTCCAGGATATTTCTACATACTTTTCTGAGGAGGAGTGGGCAAAACGAACCACATGGCAGAAAAGTGTCTACGTGTATATGAAAAGAAACTACATCAGGATGACAGCCCTAGGTAATGGGAAGTTCTGGGTTCAGACATGCCTGGGTGTCTCCCAGTTATTTTCTATGCCACAGTTTCTTCTCACCATGTAGCATGTCCCTCTCCCACATGATACTTTCTTCCTGGAGAAATATCAGTGTGCTTGCTGAGCAAGCTGCTCTCTTCCATCTTATTCAGGGCTGAGAGCATAGTGCACAGGCAGCAGGGCTCAGGTCTGCAGTCTGCACTGTTCTTTCCTGCAGTCTCTTGTTCTTGTGTGCGCTTGTGTGCTGCATCCCAGATTCTGCTTTCATTTCCCCTCTTGTGCTGTCTGCTAAAGAACAAGCACTTTGCTTCCTCTTAGGGGTCACAGTCAACCAACCAGTTTTCATGCGTTGCAAGCAACAGGCCAAAGAATTCCTGGTGGAATGTATTGAAGTTCATGGCCATGATAGTGAAGGTGAGTGGTTAGGGTCAGTCACGATGCCTGGTAAGGTCACAGGCAGGTCTTTGCTTTTTCACATTAGGGCTGTGTGGATAAAGGGTTCATTCAGAGGATTATGTAGAAGACCTTGTCATACAAAAGTCTAAAAGGTTAAAAAGAATGTACATTATTTTGGATAATAAGTAAATGACAAATGGGTAACAACTTCCGTTGGAATGCACACCGTTCTGTATCACATCCTAAACATAGGCATCCACCCTATACACATACATGAAATCATTGTCACAGAGATACAACTCAACACACACACACACACACACACACAGTAACTCCCAGGAAAGCAGGCCAGATTGCACAAGCTCCCACAAGCTTGATCTTAAACTTCAGGCCTGAAGTTTATGCACAGTTTTTGAGAGCAAAGGAGAATTATTACATTAGATAGCGCCCCCCCCAAACACTGAGCTAAATTACTTATCCTTCCTCATGCAGTTAACCCTTGAATATTCAAATCATTTCATGTGTTAAGTAAGTTCTTTATTAGTTCACATCTGAAAGTATAGACAGTTCAAAATTTCCTGAAATCAACTTAATATTATGAGGCAAAAGAAATTTCCTGGAATAGGATGAGGCAGTGATGAGACCGGGACAACATTTCATAAACAATCACAAGGAGACTTCGAAACTGATACTGTAGATAATGCCTATGTCATTAATAAAGTGAAAGAGAGCCATGCTCCACCCATTCCTCCTCCATGAGTGCACTGTACTCTCCACTCTAGCATTCCTTAAACTGACAGGATTCTGAACTTTTGAAATATTTACTAACAAACAAAACCTTCTGACTTGTCACTTCCCATAGACGAACATTCTGAAGTGACTTTTGGCATAAAACCGACAAAACGCCTAAAGGTGAGTATCGCCTATTTCTGTAGGAATGCTCCATGTTTGCCTTCAGTTCACACCCACATTGTTGAGGATAGTTTTCTTTTTGGTGGTGGATGAGTGTATAAAATATATTTGATACTTAAAGTATAAGATTTAATGTGAAGCATCACATATTGTTTCAAATGTCAATTCTAACTGTATGGAAATTCCCTGGGTTGTATAAACTTTGGGCCTGGGTAATTTTGGTGTGTGATGTTTTTATTTATTTGCAAGGTCCTGTGTTAAATAATATCCAGTGAATTAAAATACCCTAAATCACATGGCAGAAATACTGCCTGTAGATTAATATTTGCCAAAATGCTTTATCCAAGATTCTCTTTTATAGTTGACACCACTGAATCTAGATCCTCATAATGAAAATGGAAGACTTGCCTCTGAAGATGCTGCTCCTTCCCCTGATTCCAATTTGCCAGGTAGAATGCAATCTAATTTGATGTGGGATTCCCCTCTGTATGTGTGAATACCATCGATAATAAAGAAACTGTCTTAGGCCTGTGATAAGGTAGAGTAGAGCTAGGTGGGGAAAACTAAACTAAATGCTGGAAGAAAGGTGGAGCCATGGAAAAGCCATGGAGCTGCTGTTGGAGATAGATATGCTAAAACCTTGCTGGTAGGCCACAAGCCTCGTGGTAAAATATAAAATAATAGATATGGGTTAAATCAAGATGTAAGAGTTAGCCAATAAGAAGTTAGAGCTAATGGGCCAAGCAGTGATTTAATTAATACAGTTTCTGTGTGGTTATTTTGGGGGTCTGTGCGGCTGGGAAACAAACAAGTGGCCTCTTACACTAATTCCTGTTCTTGAACATAATTTCTTCATTCTTTTTTAATATGGTATTTTATTTAATAATTTGAGGATTTTATATAATGTATTTTGATCATAGTCACACATACCCCACTCTTTCACCTAATTAACATAAAACATCTTTCCTAGATGTTTTTCTCACTTCCCCACATTCCTCAAATTCATGTCTTGTTTGTTATTGTTTAAAAATAACCAGCCATGCCCCATTTGTGCTGTCTATAAACTTAAGTGATGTGCAGTTATCCACAAGAATATGGGCTGACGGGCTGGAGAGATGGCTCAGCGGTTAAGAGCATTGACTGTCCTTCCAGAGGTCCTGAGTTCAATTCCCAGCAACCACATGGTGGCTCACAACCATCTGTAGTGAGATCTGGCGCCCTCCTCTGGCATATGGGCATACATGGAGGGAGAATGTTGTATACATAATAAATAAAATTAATCTTTTAAAAAAAAAGAATATGGGCTGACATAACAGGGGCCATACCCTTAAAACTGACTCTCCCTCCCACGAAAGCCATCTATTGTCCACAGCTGCTCACAGAGGTCTGGGAGCCCATGAGTCCCTGCTCACTCCTTGCTAGAATGCTGACAGGCTTGATCCTATGCATGTCTTACATAGGCAAAGACAAGTCCTGGTTGCTCTTGAGTTTGACACTTCTGTCATGTCCATAAGACACTTATATGCTCTGTCCCTCCCTGTCCTCTGCTTCTTACAATCTCTCCATCCCCTATTCTACAATGGTACTTGAGCTTGGGAGGAAGGTGTGTGACATATATGTTCAGTGCTTAGCTGAACAATCGATAGACACCTATTTTCTGCAGTCTAACCAGTTGGGAGCTTCTTTATTAGCCACCACTCACTGTACAACAAAACTTCTCTGGTAATGACTGCGAGCTATCTATGCATAGAGAGATATGGATTTAGAGGTTAGTTTGTACTACATTCATTTAGCAAAATCATAGCAATGGGTTTTCCCCATGGGGCCTGTGCAACCATAGGTTCTTGATCAGATTTACAGTACCAGGACTGCATGTCTTCAACCACAGCATTCTAGTAATTAGAGGAAAGATGAGGATCAGCACAACCGTGCCAATTATTGGCCTGAACAGCAGTTTCATTGGTTCCCTAGTTCATAGCCCAAGCCACTGAAATGCACTCATGTCTTCTTTCATTTCTGAAATTTAGTCAGGCATTCCCTCACAGTCTGTTCTTTTATCCCGACACTCACTGTCCAACCAGGAGTCAGCAGCTGGCCTCTGCTCTGTAAATGGCCCAATGTACTCCTCTGACTGGAAATGACAGGGCTTTCACTGTGGACTCCTCCCACTGTGATCGACTTCAGGACATATCGACACCTGAGAACTGTCTGCTTCACAGACCCAGGGACCCTGACAGATGCCTGACAATTTATGAAATGGTGGTTTCCACAGCTGCAGATTCTAGTCTAGTGTAGAGAGTTTAGGGAGCTGAGATTTCGTTGCCTGTGAGGGCACAGTTAAAAAAGAGCAAGTATTCAGTTTTATTATTATATCATTTAAACAGTGTTTCCATTTGGGTGTGTTGGGCATGCCTATAATTGCAAAGCTCTGTAGGGTCATTAGATCAAGACTTTTCTAGGGTATGTGAAGAGATCTTGTCTCAAAACTGAAATCAACCAACCAACCAACCAAAACTCAAAAGAAATAAAGAGTGGGTATGGAGAGACTGTTCAGTGGTTAGGGGTATCTGCTGTTGTTCCAGAGGACCGGAGTTCAGTTCCTAGCACCCACACTGGGTAGTTCACTATTATGTCACCCCAGTCCCAGAGGATCTGACAAACCCATACATATGTCACACATACACAGAGGCATATACATGCACACATAAATATAAATATAAAATAAAAGACAATAAGTTGTGTTTCTAATGAAGGATAAAACAGGAAAGCTATACTAGATGATGAGGGAGGGGAACCAAACAGTATACTGGATGGTATAACCTGAAGTGGCCTTTGGTCTGTATTGCTGTATGGCTAATATCTCAGTATTTGTGAGCTAGCAGATGTAAAAATCAGACAATGGAGAAGGCCTATAGGCTCTCTATAGGGAGAAACAAGTCCTGTTCTTTTCTGACAAAACAAAGCCCTAAACCATCTAACTCTCATGTACTAATCCCTCCCTATTTCAGGAGCTGGCAACATTCAGGTAAATGCCTGGAGTCACCGGTTGAGGAAAAGGAAGAAGCAAGTGACCCACAAAGAGATCAAGGATCCCAAAAAAGATGATGATGATGGAATCTGTAAGTGGTCCTTTGACACATCTCCCAAACCCCAGAATACACACTTTTCTCATATGGTATTGGATCAGTCATCCACTTCTAGTCTTTGGGGTGCTACAATGAAGTTGAAGTACTATGCAACGTTTCCTTTACTTCAAAGCTGGGTCTTTTGGAGACCTTCCCTACCCAGGATGCGGTGGGCTCCCAAAACCCAGGTCAGTTCTCAAAGTACAAGCCATGCCTTCCTCTGGTTTAGGAATTCAAATAGAAGGTGAGGTAGTCACTGTGCTCTGAGCAGAGGGTTGAGCTGTGGAACAGAGGCTCTGAGGTTTGGTCGGAGGGAAGCATGTAGGCTTTGAAGGATGGGAGGAAACAGACCAGTGAGTAGGTAGTGCGAACTCACTACCATTTCTTTTCTTTCTGTTTCAACCATAGAGTCGAAATAATCCCAGGAGGAGAAGCAGAATGTGGTGGGAATTCTGGATCATTGCCACGACTTTGAAAGACTAAATATCAACTATATCTTTCTCTAGATATATGCATATATTTATTTATAAAGAGTCATTATACTTCTAAGTACCGGTTTTCATATTATTTGTCAAGTGATCTCTTAGCAATTTTGTAGGATGTGTCAAGCACTCTGTCAGAAATTTGTGCCAAGCATTCCCTATGTATTATTGACACTGTGCTAAGTTCCATTAGAATGTTCTTCCTTTTGCTAGGCCATCTTTAAGCATAAATCTTGCTGCATGGTATCTGGTCACACTGGGGAGACTACATGCTAAGCATTCTGTTAAATATTTTTCTTACTGTATAAAAACCACTCTGGTAAAATATCAATGTTTCAAGCAGACAAGATGGCTCAGTGGTAAAGGATCCTGCTGCCAAGCCTGATGACCTGAGTTTAATCCTAACGACCCACATGGTGGCAGAGAGAACCGATTCTTGATAATGTCTTTTGATGTTCACGACTGTACATACACAACATATATATTCATATATATATGAAGATAAAAGAAGTCTATCAATATTCCACTCAGCGAGACATCCCTAATGCAAACAGCTGTTTGTCTGTCCTTTAGCTGTCTTAGGGACCATGAGCTATCAGTCATCCTTTGCACTGAAGCACACTGCCCTTTCCCTTGCCCAGGACTACTGAGCAGAGTTGTATTGCTTACGTTAGCGCATTTCTCTGTATGTGAACACACATATACATGTCATCACTATGATCGGTTGTCACTTGCCATGCTCCGCTAGCACTGTGTCTCCTCAGAACCACCTTATTCCATTTTCTGGTCAGTACGTACTTCCACCCCTGGTTGCACACAGGTGACAAATCCAAATTCTGTGATGTAGGAGAATCTGGATTTGCCTGACAACATGTGTAACCCTCATTTACCCAAGAGCCTGAGGCTCAGTGTAGACCAATGTTTGCTTATATGAAGATTAAAACTTATTTTTTTACCCTCTAATCTTACCTTTTTGGAAGAAAGTTGTAACATCTGATTCTAGGGATTGAACTCAGGTCCTCATGCATGCAAGGATAGTGCTCTACCACTCAACTACATTGGATGAGTAGTTTCTTTATTGCTGACCAAATGCCTGAGAAAAATAAAGAAAGAAATGTTCTTTTGGGCTTCTAGTTTCAGTGGGTTCGGTTGACGGATGCTTTTCCCATCCATACAACATGTAGGAGAGGTTGTTCCTCCTTTCTGACTGACTAACATACCTAACAGGACCAGGGGTCAAGATGCCACTCTAGAGAGACACACTGACAGAGATTTAGGATTTTGTATGAACATGAATAGATGGTGAAGTAGTAACTTAACAGAAATCTAAGGAAGATGGCCCAACAAGTGTGTGACTAGAGGCGGAAAGATTAACAGATGCCAAGTACAAGGTCAGACCTGAATGGCACCAAAGTTAGAAGAGTTCAGAGAATAACGGATTTAAGGCTCATGTCTGAAGAACATAGATGGTACAAATGAGACCTAGGGCTCTGGACCAATGTAGACAAGGTACACAGAATCTGTGTGTGCTGCAGTAAGGTCTAGACTTCATTAACATTACTTGGCAGATGCTATGAGGTAACCCATCTCACACGCCATTCATATGTAGGAGCCATAATGCCCAGTGTAGCTCTCCTAGGAGTGATAGTGGTAATGTGGGTTCCTATGGTTATGGCTCTCATGAACTGACCTGTTGGCCTTGTGGAAAGGGAGGAGATATCAGATCTCTGCCTCAGCATCATGTGAGGATGCAGAGGTGCCGATAAATGATCATGTTCAACAAAACAAGTAAGTGCAGAAAGGCAGATGGTTCAAGTTTAATTTCAATGAGTAACCACATTTAAATCTGAATTCTTGTGTAACTTTGTGTGTGGGACACCAAACTAGAAAAGGTACCATAAGATGGGAGGCTGAGTCCTTAAAGAGGGAAAAAGTGACTGTTTATACAGGGGGGCATGGAAGGAACAGGGACAATTGGGGAGGAAGAAAGGGACTAGCCAAGGGGATAGACAGTGGGACATGGCGATTGTTGGTTAAAACCAATAACATGGGGATATGTCATTCTGAGAACCATTACCTTGTATGCTACCTTAAAACATTAAGTAAATAGGGTCCTGAGAATGAAATGCAAAGAGAAAAGAGTCTACTTCTGAAGCAGAGTTAGTGGTCTTCTGGTGGAAAAAAATCTTATATTTAGGGGAAACTGGGATCCAGGAAAATGAGAGATGAAAACTGGCCATTCTTGTCACTCTCTAGAAATGTTCTTACCTAGTTATCTGTCTCACTAACACTCACTGTATGGCCATCAGAATAGTCACACATGTTAAGCAGAAACTGAAGACTACTTCCAAGGTAAATGTTAATAGTGGCAGACTGATGCCTTCCAGCTGCAGTACCATGCTCAGAGGTCTGGGCAATGGACCTTGTGTTCTAGGTTTCTGAAAATATGGCCTAAACAATTTTGGACTGAATTCTTGCATAATGGAAGAAAAATACCCATGGCTCAACTGACTTAAGAATATTTAAGTATTTTTATATGCACCTATAGGAATTAAAATGTATATGATTTTCCTTGAGCATATAAGGTTCCCCCCAAATAGTAACTATTTATGAAAATACCAAATACACAATGAATAGACTTTAAATGATCCAAGTGCCAATGCAGAAATTTGGAAGTTCTGTATCCAAGGTATTCAGAATTCAGTCTGGGTTTACATCTGGATTTTGTTCCCTGGAGATACGCAGCAGATATCTATCCACCTGGAAAGGACACTGAATCTGGGTGTGGCTGCCAGGCTTAAATGGTACTCTGCTTGTTAGGTTGACTGGTATGGGTTACTCTTGTAAGGATCAAATCCACCCAGCCTCTTTAACAAATCAGTTCTACCAAAGTTTTAGGCTCCAATTCTGAGCCATTATCTATAGTTTAAGACTTTATGCACTGAAGAAACTGTTGGCACAAGGAAATGAAAGCAGAGCCACTGCACACTGTGTTGTTATTGTAGATCTGGTAAACTGGGATCTTCAGTCAGCTCATTTGGCTACCCTTCAGAGGCTCTGCCCAGATGTTCTTCACTTCCACTCTAATCTTCAGTGTGTCTGGACCAGCCCTTTTCCCCAGAAACTCTTCCTGAGTGGAGAATCTGGTTCCAAGTCACCCATTTAACCAAGCTTGACAATGACAACAAGTAATGAAGAAAAGTTCCCGTGGATGGCTTCTGTGTTTACTTTTGTGAATTTTAGCACATTAAAATGTCAAATTTGGGTATAAGGTCAAACTTCCTTCTAAGTATTTATGTTTACGCCCATAAGTTATTGCTTGTCCAGAGAAGTGTCTGGTAGCAGTTGCTCCAGAGATACTTTTTTGAGGCAGAGTTTCTCTGTGGAAAGTTTTCTCAGCCCTGGCTGTCCTGAAACTCCCTCTGTAGACCAGGCCGGCCTCAAACTCAGAGACCCACCTGCCTCTGCCTCCCAAGTGCTGAGATTAAAGGTGTGCACCAACCATCTGACTACTCCAGAGATTCTTAGGTAGCCAAAGTGTTGAGAACATGTGGCTGTTGAATCCACAGTCTTAAATGAGACACATAGTATCCCCTCCATGGGTCAGGGGACTCCATGGAAGAAGGTGGAGAAAGAATACAAGAGGTAGAAGACAGGGTGGAGTGGTGTGGACTTTAGTTCTCTAGGACATGAACAGCCTTTGCATGCCTGAAAGCGCAGTAGCTATTAGTAGTTGCAGAAGACTGGGCCCTCATCATTCTGTCATGGAGAGAGTAGAAAGGTCGTGAGCCTTTCACACATTCCTGAGGACTGGTAGAAAGTTGTTACAGTTGCTAGGGAGATGGGCTTGGGAGATTTTACCCCTCCCTATGGATGTCTAGGCAGTTAATGCTTTCAGAGGATGAGAGAAATTTACTTCAGTGGTGTAGCCACTAGGAAGGTGCCCATGATTCTAACTCAGCACATGCCACTATAGGAAACAAATGAAAAACATGTGTTTACCAAATGAGTCCTGAAAATATAAAAGAAAGTACCTGGGAATTGGATGATTTCTACCTGGGTACTGGGATTAAGAGTAGTGGGTAGAGAGAAAAAGCAGGGTACTTGGAGGTGATGGGGATAAAAATACATGGATGGGCGAGAATCTGTTAAATAAGCCCTCCACACATGCTTCTCTAGGTAACCTTAATTGAGATTACAGGTTGATAAAAACAAACAAAAAACTCCCATGAAAATAGAAAGAAGACTAGTTGAGAAAAATACTGAGACCAGGAGGAGTGAGAAGAAGACACAACTTGGAGATGGGACATAGGACATAGTAACAATCAAAACATATTATATGCTTGTGTTAAAACATGCCAATAAAAATAGGTTAAAACAACTGCAACTTACCTCTTTGCAGTGTGTTGGAATCCTGGGTTTGTAACTCACTTCCTTAGTATGGGTCAGGCCCTGGGACAGATCCCTAGAGTTGCAAAAAATAACAGTAAAGTACAAAGTGATCTGATCAGTGCATGGAGAGATGGTTTTGTGGTTAAGGGTACACACTGCTCTTACAAAAGACTCAGATTTGGTTCCCAGAACCCACATGGCATCTCACCCAGTATTTAACTCCACTTCTAGGGTTGTTATTCCCTCTTCTAGCCTCCATAGGCACTGCACATACATTGTGCATATACATACAGGTAGGCAAATCATTCATATAGGTAAAATATAAGTAAAATCATGTTTAAAAATGACATGATCATCTGCATAGGCAATGTGACAGTTCATTAAAGATCTCAATAAATGTGTTCTGTGCATGTGCTCCTGCTCCTCTTGAATAACAGAACTCAAGCTTGTGCTGTTAACTCCATTTCACTCCTGCCATTACCCCCACTAGGCCCCTTTGTTCTTCATATATAGTGAAAGCCTACAATTATGTTGTGAACTTCATCTACCCTACTCACTGGACCCATACTCCCAAGTACACTTGGTCCCTTCTCTAGGCAGAGACATTAGACTCATTCTGCCAAATACCTTCATCCCTGCAACCTTTCCAGAGAGGGGCATTAGACCCACATCTACAACTCTACTGACTCACTGTAGGATCACATGTTCATCCTTGCCTTTCAGCCCCCATCCTGCCCCTCTTCTTTATGTAGAGGTCCTAGTCTATCACCATCTCAGACCCCTTTCCTGGAGGAAAGTCTGAACACCTCTCCCAGATTACTGAAGATTGCCTGAGGGAATCTTCTAATTTGAAAGTCATCAACCTTACTTAGTCTGGGCTGAGTAAAAACTGCTTCTGATACCCATTTGAATATCAACATTAAGTTGCTCAAAAACTGAATCCTAAATCCCATACAGATGTCAGGAAAGAAAGCTTCAACAGAGGAGAGACAGGATCTCCATACCAAGAAACAAGATCAATGATACTTAAGATACTTAACTTCAGATACTTAAGTCTGATCATAAATACACAACAAGAACAGGCAAAACAATCTCTGACAAAAATTAGTACTCCAGACATGGGAGTAACCACTGAGCGAATGAGCCAGACCCAGAGATCTCTGAGGGTCCGGACGTGAATCTGGGACCTTCAAGGAAGTAGACCTAAGCCAGGACCCCTGTGGGTCTGGGTGTGAGTCTAGGACCTCCCAGGAACTAGGCCTGAGCCAGGACCTCTGCCAGTCTGGGCATGAGTGAATCTGGGACCTCTAAGGGAGTAGGCAGGAACCAGGCGTGAGTCTGGGTCCTCAGAGGGAGTAGGCCTGAGCCAGGACCTCTTTGGGTCTGGCCATTAGTCTGGGACATCAAAGGGAATAGGCAGGAACCTGGAATCTCTGTGGGTCCGAGAGTGAGTCTGGGACCTCTGAGGGAGTAAGCCTGTGCCAGATTTTCTGCGGTTCTGGGCGCACCTAAGCCTGGGAACTTCGAGGCAGTAGACGGGAGCCAGAAACCTTTGCACGGCCAACTCCAAGCCAGGGACTTCTGCAGGAGAGGATGCAGACCAGGCTTTATAGAAACAGGGCAAAGCTGGTAACCTAGTCCAAAGTAGGCCTTCGACAGCAAACTCCAAGGGAGCAGAGCAAAGCACAGGAACACTGAGCTATCTCCAGGAACACGGAGTAACCAACGGGGTAACTAGAACTGTGACACTGACTGTACCATGAGGAACAACCATCTGAGCTTGGGATTCACTGGCACCTGGAAGATTATTCAACAGAATCTCAGACAGCCCCAACCACACCTATTAGAGGAAAAGATAAGTAGAAAAGGTAAGAACACATGCAGCACCACAAAGAGCAACATACCCCCAGTGAAACCTAAAGATCCTACAACAGCAAGACATGAACAATCAAATATAGATGAAGTAGAAGAAAATGACCTAAAAAATAACTTCAAGAGAATGTATAAAACTCTTAAAGAGGAAATGAGAAATTCCCTTAAAGAAATGGAGGAAAAGACAAACAAAAAATTGGAAGACATCAGCAAATCCCTCAACGAAAACCACAAAAAAGAAGTCAAACATATGAAAGAAACTATTCAAGACTTGAAAACTGAAACAGAGACAATAAAGAAAACACAACCTGAGGGAATTATAGAAACAGAAATCATGAGAAAACGATCAGGAACCACAAACGCAAGCATGAACAGCAGAAAACAAGGAATGGAAGAGGAACTCTCAAGCGCTGAAGATACAATAGAGGAAATAGACTCGTCAGTTAAAGAAAACATTAATCTAACAAAAGCTTAACCCAAAATATCCAGAAAATATAGGGCACCATGAAAAGGCCAAATCTTAGAATAATAGGTATAGAAGGAGGAGAAGTAGTTCAACTCAAAGGCACAGAAAATTTATTTAACAAAATCATAGAAGAAAACTTTCCCTACCTAAAGAAAGATATGCCTATGAAGATACAAGAAGCTTACAGAACACCAAATAGACTGGATCAAAAAAAAAAGTCCTCTCACCACATAATAATCAAAACACTAAACATACAGAGTAAAGAAAGAATATTAAGAGCTGCAAAGGAGAAAGGCCAAGTAACATAAATTACACCTGACTTCTCATTGGAGACAATGAAAGCCAGAAGGTCCTGGTCAAGCATTATGCAGATATTAAGAGACCACGGATGCCAGCCCAGACTACTATACCCAGCAAAACTTTCAATCACCATAGAAGGACAAACAAGATATTCCACAACAAAACTAGATTTCACCAATACCTAGCCACAAACCCAGCCCTACACAAAATACTAGAAGAAAAACTCCAACCCAAGGAAGTTGGCTACACCAACAAAAACACAGGCAATTGATGGTCTCATAGCAGCAAATCCCAAAGAAGGGAAAAATTAACATCACCAATAACGAAAACTAAATTAACAGGATATAGCAATCACTGGTTATTAATATCCCTTAATGTAAATGGACTCAACTCACCTTTAAAAAGGCACAGGCTAACAGACTGGATAAGAAAACAGAGTCCATCCTTCCTCTGCATACAAGAAACACATCTCAACCTCAAAGACAGATATCGTCTCAGAGTAAAGGGTTGGGAAAAAATATACCAATCAAATGGACCTAAGAAACAAGCGGGTGTAGCTATCCTAATATCTAACAAAATAGACTTCAAGCTAAAGTCAGTCAAAAGAGACAAAGAAGGTCATTTCATATTAGTCACAGGAAAAATCCATCAAGAGGAAATCTCAATACTGGATATCTATGCCCCAAATACAAGGGCACCCTCATATGCAAAAGAAACACTTCTAAAGCTTAAATCATACATTAAACCACACACACTAATAGTGGGAGACTTCAACACTCCCCTCTCACCACTGGACAGGTCAATCAGACAAAAAATGGACAGAGAAATAAGAGAACTAACAGATGTTATGACTCAAATGGACTTAACAGACATCTATAGAATATTCCATCCAAACAGAAAAGAATATACCTTCTTCTCAGCACCTCATGGAACCTTCTCGAAAACTGACGACATACTTGGTAACAAAACAAACCTCAACAAATACAAAAAAATTGGAATAACCAATGTACCTTATGAGATCACCATGGTTTAAAACTAGAAGTCAACAGCAATACTAATTCCAGAAAAACCACAAACTTATGGAAATTAAACAATATCCACCTGAATCATCAATGGGTCAAGGAAGAAATAAAGGGAGAAATTCAAGACTTCCTAAAATTCAATGAAAATGACCACACAAAATACTCAAATTTATGGGACACAATGAAACCAGTGTTAAGAGGAAAGTTCATAGCACTAAATGCCTACATAAAGAAGTTGGAAAAATCCCACACTAGTGAATTAACAGAACATTTGAAAACTTAAGAACAAAAAAAGCAAACTCACCTAAAAGAACTAGATGCAGGAAATAATCAAATTGAGAGCTGAAATCAACAAAATAGAAACAAAGAAAATAATACAAAGAATCAACGAGACAAAGAGTTTGCTCTTTGAGAAAATCAATAAAATAGACAAACCTTTATCCAAACTAACCAAAGGCAGAGAGAGAATATCCAAATTAACAAAATCAGAAATGAAAAGGGGGACATAACAACAGACACAGAGGAAATACAGAGAATCATCAGGTCATATTTCAAAAACATGTACTCCACAAAATTGGAAAACTTAAAAGAAATGGACAACTTTCTGGATAAATATCACTTAACAAAATTAAATCAAGACCAGATAAGCAAATTAAACAGACCTATAACTGCTGAAGAAATAGAAACAGTCATCAAAAGTCTCCCAACCATAAAATCCCAGGACCAGATGGTTTCAGCTCAGAATTCTATAAGACTTTCAAAGAAGAACTAATACCAATACTCCTCAAATTATTCCACACAATAGAAACAGAAGGAACATTGCCAAACTCTTTTTATGAGGCTACAATTACCCTGATACCCAAACCACAGAAAGACATTACTAAGAAAGAGAATTACAGACCAATCTCATTTATGAACATTGATGCAAAAATACTAAATAAAATACTGGCAAATTGAACTCAAGAACACATCAGAACCATCATCCACCATGATCAAGTCGGCTTCATCCCAGAGATGCAGAGAGGGTTCAACATATGATAATCTGTCAATATAATCCACCTTATAAACAAACTGAAAAATAAAAACCACATAATCTTCTCATTAGATGCCAAAAAAGCTTTATACAAAATACAACATCCCTTCATAATAAAGGTCTTGGAGAGAGTAGGGATACAAGGAACATACCTAAACATAATAAAGGCAATATACAGCAAGCCAACAGCCAACATCAAACTAAATGGAGAGAAACTCCCAGCGATTCCACTGAAATCAGGAACAAGACAAGGTTGTCCATTCTCTCCATATCTATTCAATATAGTTCTTGAGGTCTTGGCTAGAGCAATAAGACAATAAAAAGAGATCAAAGGGCTACAAATTGGAAAAGAAGAAGTCAAACTCTCACTGTTTGCTGATGATATGATAGTTTGCATAAGCGATCTCAAAGATTCTACCAAGGAACTTCTACAAATCATAAATACTTTCAGTAATATAGCAGGATAAAAGATTAACTAAAAAAGTCAGTAGCCTTCCTGTATATAGATGATAAAAGGGTTGGGGAAGAAATCAGAGAATCAACACTCTTTACAATAGCCACAAATAGCATAAAATATCTCGGAGTAACTCTAACCAAACAAGTGGAAGACTTGTATGACAAGAACTTTAAATCTTTGAAGAAAGAAACTGAAGAAGACACCAGAAAGTGGAAAGATCTCCCTTGCTCTTGGGTAGGTAGAATTAACATAGTAAAAATGGCAATCTTACCAAAAGAAATCTACAGATTCAATGCAATGCCCACCAAAATTCCAGAAAAATTCTTCACAGACCTTGAAAGAATGGTGCTCAACTTCACATGGAAAAGCAAAAAACCCAGGATAGCCAAAACAATCCTGTACAATAAAAGAACTTCTGGAGGCATCACAATCCCTGACTTCAAACTCTAGTACAGAGCTACAGTACTGAAAACAGCCTGGTATTGGCATAAGAACAGACAGGAGGACCAATGAAACCAAATAGAAGACCTGGATATCAATCCACACATCTTCGAACACCTGATTTTTGAGAAAGAAGCGAAAAATATCAAATGGGAAAAAGAAAGCATATATAACAAGTGGTGCTGGCATAACTGGATATCAACATGTAGAAGAATGAAAATAGACTCATATTTACCACCATGCACAAAACTCAAGTCCAGATGGATCAAAGACCTCAACATAAAGCCAGCCACACTGAACCTTATAGAAGAGAAAGTGGGAAGTACACTTGAACACATTGGCACAGGAGACCACTTCCTAAATATAACCCCAGGAGCACAGACACTGAGAGAAACTATTAATAAATGGGACCTCCTGAAACTGAAAAGCTTCTGTAAAGCAAAGGACACAGTCAACAAGACAAAACAACAGCCTACAGAATGGGAAAAGATCTTCAGTAACCCCACATCAGACAGAGGTCTGATCTCCAAAATATACAAAGTACTCAAAAAATTGGACACCAAAAGATCACATAATCCAATAAAAAAAATGGAGTACAGACCTAAACAGAGAACTCTCAACAGAGGAATCTAAAATGGCTGAAAGACACTTAAGGAAATGTTCAACATCCTTAGCCATCAGAGAAATGCAAATCAAAACAACTTTGAGATTCCATCTTACATCTGTAAGAATGGCCAAGGTCAAAAACACTGATGACAACTTATGCTGGAGAGGTTGTGGGGTAAAGGGAACACTTCTGCATTGCTGGTGGGAATACAAGCTGGTACAGCCCCTTTGGATGTCAGTGTGATGATTTCTCAGAAAATTAAGAAACAACCTTCCTCAAGACCCAGTAATACCACTTTTGGGTATATATCCAAAGGATGCTCAATCGTGCCACAAGGACATGTGCTCAACTATGTTCATAGCAGCTTTGTTTGTCATAGCCAGAACCTGGAAACAATCTAAATGCCCCTCAACCGAAGAATGGATAAGGAAAATGTGGTACATTTACATAATGGAGTACTACACAGCAGAAAAAATAATGACATCTTGAATTTTGCAGGAAAATGGATGAAGCTAGAAAACATCATTTTGAGTGAGGTAACCCAGACCCAGAAAGACAATTATCACATGTACTCACTCATAGGTGGTTTTTAAACATAAAGCAAAGAAAACCAACTCACAAACCACAATCCCAGAGAACTTAGACAATAATGAGGGCACTAAGAGACATACATAGATCTAATCTACATGGGAAGTAGAAAGTAGAAAAAGACAAGATCTCCTGAGTAAATTGGGAGCATGGGGAACTTGGGGGTGGGTTGAAGGGGGGCGGGGAGAGGCAGGGAGGGGAACAGAGAAAAATGCAGATCTCAATAAAAATTAATAAAAAAATTAGTACTCCAACATTAATGTTCCCCCATAATCATGACTTGAATGACATACAATGATTTCAAAACATCAGTAATAATCATAATTAAGGGAACTCAAAAAGGATATGAATAAATTTCAGAAGACTGCTTAAACATAAATTGAAAGAAATAATGAAAACAGTTCATGATATGAAAATAAAATTTAATAGAGAATCTCTAAATAAAAGTCAAAATGAAATGAAATGTGAAATGAAAATTTCAGCAATTTAAATATAAATTCAGTAGAAATCCCCACCAATAGATTGGATCAAGTGGGAGAGACAATACTGAGTCTTTTTAAAAATTGTTTTTTATTTTTATTTTTTAAGTGTGTTGGTATTTTGCCTACATGCATGTCTTTGTGAGTGTGTAGGATCCTCTGGAACTGGAGTTACAGACAGTTGTGAGCTGCCATGTGGGTGTTGGGAATTGAACCCAGGTCTTTTGGAAGAGCAGCCAACGCTCTTAACTATTGAGCCATCTCTCTGGCCTGACAATATTGAGTCTTAAAGACAAGGTAGAAGTATTGAAAAAATGTGAAATTCAAAGAAAATTTCAAATCTATAATAAATAAATGCAAGAGTAAAACATGTGGGAACACTATAAAAAGAATAATTCTAATAGCTAGAGAAGAAGAGACCCAGGTCAAAGGCACAGGAAATATTTTCAATAAAGTCATAAAAAGATAAACTAAGGAAAAGAGGGGCCTATTAATGTCTAAGACATATTCAGAACAACAGAAAAGAAACTCCTCATATTATATAGCAGTTAAAACACTAAGTGTACAGAACAAAGGATATTAAAAGCTGGAAGAGATTCACATACAAATGCAGGCCTGTCATAATAAGAACTGATTTTTCAATGTAGGCCATGAAATTCAGAAGGTAGTAGACCATTGTTACACATATTGGTAAAGACCACAGGCATCAAATACTATATTTGGGAAAACTCAACTCTAACCAAAGAAGAAAGTAAAACTTTCTATTCTAAAAATAGATAAAGGAATTTATGTTCATCAAGTTACCTCCATAGAAGATGATGAAGGGAATCCTCAGTTCTGGAGAGGTTTCATATGCCCAAGAAGGTACAAGGAAGAAATGAACAGTTTCAGAAAATTGAATCAAAAGAGGTCAGTGAAACGTCACAAAGCAAGAAAATGACAAGAATACACATTGTTTAATAATAACTCTTAATATTAGTGGCCTTAACTCCCCAATAAAGAAAGAGTCACAGTCTAACAAATTGGATTAGAAATCAGGATTCATCTTTTTTAATACGTCCAAGAAATGTATCTCACTAACAATGATCAACACTACCTTAGGATAAATGGATGAAAATGGTATACAAATTAAATGGAACTAATAATAAGCAAGTGCAGTTCTTCTAATACCTAGAAAAAAATAGACTTCAAACCAAAACCAATCAGCAGGTATAAGGAGGAACACTTCTTACTAATTAAAGGAAAAATCCAACAACAGCATTGTCTTAGCCAATGTTCCGTTGCTGTGAAGAGACATCATGATCATGGTAACTCACAAAAGAAAAAGTTGGCTTACAGTTTTAGAGGTTTAGTTCATTATCCTCATGGTGGGAAACTTGGCAGCACACAGGCATATATGGCAGCTGAGAGTTCTGGATCTGAAAAAGCAGGAAGACAGAGTTACTGGTCCAGGCTTAGGCTTTTGAAAACTCAAAGCCCACCCCTGTGACACACTTCCTCCAACAAGACCCCACCTCCTAATCCTTTCATATAGTGCCAGTCTCTGATGACTAAGCATTGAAGTTTATGAAGCTATGGGGCCATTCTTATTCAAACCACTACATTCCTTTTTCTGGCCCCCATAAGTTTATGACTATATTATAATACAAAATGCACTTAGTCCAACTTCAAAAGTCCCCATAGTCTATCACAGTCTCAACACTGTTTAAAAGTCCAAAGTTCAAAATCCCCTCTGAGACTCAAGGCAGTCTCTTAACTGTAATCTCCCAATAAAATCAAAATCAAAAAGCAGGTCACATACTTCCAACATACAATGGCACAGCATATACATTACTATTAAAAAATGGAGGGAGAGGAGCATAGTGAGGAAATACTGGACCAGAAAAGACAGAAAACCATCTGGGCAAACTTCAAACTCTGCATCTTCATGTTTGATGTCAAAACACTCTTTGATCTCCACTCCTTTCAGGTCTGTTAACTGCAGCACACTTCTCTCTCTACGGCTGGTCCACACCCAGTCTGCAGCTCTCCTTGGCAGGTATCCCACGGCTCTGATATCTCCAACATCTTGGAGGTCTCCAAGGCAATCCAGGCTCCATCTTCACACCTTCATGTGCAAAGGCCTCTCTGAGACTCCATGCAGGAACAACCCTGACATATGCCTGGCCTCAGTAGCTTTCCTTAGTTGCAGTGGGAAATTCCATAACCTCTTTCTTATATCCTTGACTTTAAAGCCAAAGCTGTCAAGTTCTGCTTCTTGCCAGGGCTGGAACATGGGCCCCTCTTTCAATTACATGTGCAACAGCCTTCTGTTTCTGATACAGGAAGTTATATTTCAGACTGAAGAGAGAAATGAGCATAGGAACTGTAGAAAGAAATGCAAAGCCATAATTGCAAAACACAAATTACTGCTGAGAACACAATACCACCAAAATCAACAACACAATAACTACAGTCAGCACAGACTTTATAGTTTCTGTGTAATTATTTCGGGTGTAAGCTAGCCGGGTGGTGGGATGCGCCGCCGCTCCACATTACACCAGAATCAATGGTCCAATTCTTCAATTAAAAGACAGATTGGCTTAATGAATCAAGAAACAAAATCCATCTATTGCTACATCTTAGTTTTTTAAATTATTTATTTGTAGTGCATTGGTGTTTTGCCCACATGTCTGTGTGAAGGTGTTGGATCCCCTGGAACTAGAATTGCAGACAGCTGTGAGCTGCAGTGTGAGTGCTAGGAATTGAACTCAGGTCCTCTGGAAGAGCAGTCAGTGCTCTTAACTATTGAGCCATCTCTTCAGCCCCACCACATGTTAGTTTTAAAGATAGGCACTGCCTTAGTTAGAGTAAAAGGATGGACAGAGAGGTACTGCAGTCAAATGAGATAGGGGACAAGAAAGCAACTAACATCGTTACCCTCATACATGACAAAATAGACTTCCAACTAAAATTACTGAGAAGAGATAAAGAAAGACACTTAATTCTAATCAAGGAAACAATTAACCAAGAAGACATTGCTATTCTCAACATGTATGCACCAAACTTTGGTGCATCTAACTTCATTTAAAAATTCCTAGTGGACTTAAAGAGACAGACTAGCACCAACCTGTTAATTCTATGTGAATTCAATACCCCAGTTTCTCCAACAGCCAAGTCAGCTGGACAGAAAGAAACAGAGAAACATGAGAATTAAATGGCATCATACATCAAATAGGTTTAACAGATATCTACAGAATATTCCACATAAACACCAAAGGACACACATTCTACTAAGCAGCACAAGGAAGGTTTTCTAAAACAGACCACAAAAAATCTTTACAAATTCAGAAAGATTAAAATAACACTGTGTATCCAATCTGATCATAATGCAATCAACCTTAAAATTGACAGCAGACATATCTCTAGTAAATATACAAACTCACGGAGATTAAACACTACATTATTGAACGATGCATGAATCAAAGAAGCAATCAAAAAAGAAATAAAAAATTTCTTGGAACTAAAGAGAAACAATATGAAATCTCTGGGATTCAATGAAAGTAGTGTCTACATTAAAAAAAATCAGAAAAAATGCCCACCTCAAAAGAGAGGTGTGGACTGAAGCCCCTAAAGAACCTCTTACAGGAGGGCTGGGAGAGTAGCAAGCCTTTGGTCAGTCTGGCGACCCACCCAGGTGAGCCAGCATTACTACAGCCCCCCCC